AAGACGTCAACAGAATTAATTGGAAAACAAACAAAAATTTGTTGAATACACTGTGGAAATAAACACGCAGGGGGAGAGGGGAGACCACTCTCCCAAATACTGTCCACGTGGAATGTGGACATTAGACTGATGCAACATTTGAAATTATCGCTCTACAGTGCTCAAATGGTTCCAAATTGGGTCCTGGTTAGCCTCCCAATATTTTGAATCATTTAGTAAGAAATTGTCTTGACCCAAATCATTTGAAGTTTATATGGAAATTACTATGGGGAAACCATAATTTCGCTTCATATAATCTCAAAATTCACCAGTTCACTCTGCTTTAGAAAATGATAGCGGCGCTTGTTGAAAATTTTCTCAGCTACAACTTTTCGATCAAACGTAAGAAACAAAAGTTATTAATGATTCAAGTCACTGATGTCTTATGATTATGCTCCATCAACTGTTCAGCAGGCAACATTGGTGTTTCTGGCGCGAAGAATAGAGGAAAAAACTCATGACTTCTATGTCACACTGCAGAATACAGTGTTGCCATAGAAGTTGCTAAATCATGCCATAAGATTATCAATCTCTTAAATAATTAATAACTATTAAATTTGATGCTTGGCTGAAAAAAAATCTTCTTCAAAGTTGAAGCTGAGAAAATTTCCCATAAGAATTGCAATAAAACTTGTTAACAATATAATATGAAAACGGGCTAGAATACAATGAACAAATAGTTTGGTTTTACCATAGTAATTTTCATATGAGCTTCAAATGGTTTGTGCTAAGTCAGTTTCTTATCAAACGAGTTTAAACTTTCGGAGGCTACCCGGATAAAATTAAAAAAAAATATCAATAAAATACAATAGATTCTAACTAACCCTATTGTTATTGTATTGTATTTGTCAAATGATCAAATCTTCACCACAATAGGTTTACAATAAACTCTATGTAATCAAAATTTTGCAAAATATAAAAACAATTAAATTTGTTGTAAGGAGATCAAATTTGTTCGAGAAAAAATTGATTTTTTTATGGTCACGGTAACTAACAACCCCCCTTTTCTATAGTAAAAGGCTGATACACTGAAACCTCCGTTTATGAAGTCTTTTTTTACGCAGTATTCAATTTACGTCCCTCTTTTTACGAAATAAATCCCAAATAACGAGTTTTCTTTTTGCGAAGTAAATTCCAAATAACGAGTTTTTTTTGTGATTTTGGGAAACTGGGGTAAACTGTGAAATACCCCACAATATGGGTATTGCTGGAATCGGAGTGACGTGTAGGGACCGGAAATCGATGTCTGTCGCCATTTTGAAATCCAAGATGGTGGCTTCCGGTTACAGAAAAATTGACAAATACCAGCACATCACCCCGAATCTTAAGATACCCATATTGTAGGTTATTTAACATTATTTTTATGTCTATATGTAAGCGGAAGTCGCCATATTGAATTTCACAATGGCGTCAGACATGGGTCTTCAGTCCTAATAAGTCACCCCGATTCCAAAAAAAACCATATTGTGGGGTATTTGACAGTATTTCTCAGCGTTTCTGTAACCGGATGTCAACATCTTGGATTTCGAAATGGCGTCAGACATGGATTCTCGGTTCTCACAGGTCACTCTGATTCCAAAAATATCTATATTGTTGTGTATTTAACGGTATTTTTCTGTTTTCCTGTAACCGGAAGCCACCATATTGGATTTCAAAACGGCGTCAGATATCGATTTCCGGTCCCTAAACGTCACCCTGATTCTTAAGATACCCATATTGTGGGCTATTTAACATTATTTTTCTGTTTTTATGTAACCAGAAGCCGCGATCTTCGATTTCAAAATGGCGTCAGATATCTATTTTCGGTCCCTACACGTCACTCCGATTCCAAAAATACCCATATTGTGGGGTATTTGACAGAATTTCGAAGATTTTCTGTTGCCGGAAACCGCCATCTTGGATTTCAAAATGGCGTCAGATATCTATTTTCGGTCCCTACACGTCACTCCGATTCCAAAAATACCCATATTTTGGGGTATTTGACATAATTTCCATGTTTTCCTGTAACCGGAAGCCACCATCTTGGATTTCAAAATGGCGTTAGACATCGATTTCCGGTCCCTACATATCACCCTGATTCCAAAAATACCCATATTATGGGATATTTGACAATATTTTCAAAAACCTTTTTTTACGAAGTAAATCCCAAATAACGAGTTTTCTTTTTAGGAAGTAAATCCCAAATAACGAGGTTTTTTTTACGCACTAATTCGATTTACGAACCCCCGTTTTGGTTCGTAAATGGAGGTTACAGTGTATACAATGTATTCTTTTGAACATAACAATAAGTTCTAATGTATTTTAATTGTTTTTGACGTTAAGATTCATGGTTACTTCAATACATTTTATTGCATTGGAACAATAGGTTCTATTGTTTTTGTATGGCAAATTTTTATTCGAGTAATCAGGACACGATTTGTAACCGTTTGAGCACTGTGGAGCGAACATTTTAAATTCAGTCTGGTGAACATGCCCTTTATTGTGTTACTTTTAATGATGAACAGCGGTAAATCTCATCCCAAAATATTCCAAAACTTAAGCTACAAATAGTCGGTTTCAAGTCAGCGAGAACTAAGAAGCATAATTAAAAAGAGGAAATAATGATAAATGCTAAAGAACTTCCTCACATTTCACTTTTGTAAGATTTGGTAAATGATACACACAGCAAGAGAAAACAGTCAAACGGATTGTCTTATTACAAAAGAAATGATGCTACCAAACAAACTTTAAATTCTTTTTGCTCGAAATCAAAAACATGTCACTTAGTCCGGTCTGACTTAGCACCGACCAAATGTCAACATCGCAGATAACTACACTGATTTTACTCCGTTTTTCTCATGTCCAGCAACAAATTCGAGGGCAAAATTACTGGCCCTTTCCCATCCACACCCTCCAGGTCTTCCAAACCAAATGAATGCGCTTGCTTGCGGTAGGATGCCGGTGCGGGTGAGAGAGATATGATTACGATCTGATTTTTATTCAATTTCTTTCCTGCTGCCTGCATTTCCCATTCTTCCCTGCTGAATCCAAGGATAAGAATGAATTTTCGGTAGACCGTTTTCCTCCATGGAAGTTGTCCGAAAGCGAAAGAGGAAGGGTTACAAGCTGAATTAGTGGTAGGATTACGTTCGCTGAGTTTTGGTTTTTGCCCTTGCATTTGACGCCGGTTGTATCCGCAATCTTGCTGGCTAGGGATGAAAATGGCTTCTTTGCCGTCTCTACGGCGGTGTACATACATACCTATTATCATACCGTCGTTATCTTTATTATTGACTCTTGCATTATCATCTCGTTACAGTAGCTTCGAGACCATGGCGAAAGGATTCCGTTTCCGGGTGTTGGCATTTCCGATACCGCTATCGGTTTTCAATTTATGTTAATAATAGATTCGGTATTATCATTACTGGGGAATGGAACATAAGCCTCTTGTTATTCCCAAAAGCCGCAACAACGAAAAAAAAAATCAGTCCGCCTGTCCCTGGCAGAAGATTCCCTTCACTGAACGAAGCATGGCAAATTCGAGGATTACAATGTAATCTTAATAATTATCAGAACCATCCCTTCAGTCAGTGTGCTTATCCAAATAGACTGAAACATAATGGAATTTCTTTCTCCGAAAGAAGCCAGGATCTAGTGGTAGCAATTTATCATTTCCATTAATTTATTCACCTCACTCTACGAGACGTACATGTATACCTCCTGAGAGGAGCTTTAAGGAGGGCCGACCTTTTCCGTTCCGATCTCCGCAGCGCAGCTGCACGATGGTGGAGGAAAATCGCTTTTTACGTAATTACATCAGGAAAAGCGACAATCAACGGTGAGCTAGAGTAGAAGTGATAAGTGTCACTCAGAACAAAGGACCGGAACTAAGTCAAAACAATTTCGGTTAACGATGGGATGGGATGGGGAAAATCGGTCAAATCTGGGTTCGGTTGCTTGAATCCGTTTTTGAACGGTATTATCAAACTCGCCACTCTTTAATTTTCAACAACTCAAAACTCCACTTGGTCAGAAATCATTGTAAATTCTTTGATTCAACCGTTTGCCACACCAGCTTCCAACCAGGTACAGCTTCCGTGTTGTTTACATTCACCGTTCGAGTTTCCTAAGTAGATAATGCTATTAGGCAAGTTTAAAGCTTCCCTTCGTATTTTCTCCGAAAGTGTGGCCCATGTCTGATGAGAGAGAAGCAGTCTGTAGAATGCGGCTACATACACACTGTTGACTGCAGAAATATGCTACGTTTCAAGACTCATCTATGGCATAGAGAGACGACGACGACGACTACGGCTGCAAGCGGCATGCACTTGAACAGCGCAGAAGAAGATGCGTTTTTCCGTCTGCAACAAAAACTTGACTATGGCGAGTGTGGATAGAGATATTATATTTTAAATTTAATATAAGTGTCATTCTCACTTAAAAGCTTTCGGTTCTTGGTCGGTCGTCGTCGTCGTTTACTGGTTGGCGTGGTGCAAACGTTGGGATTCTGGTAATATTTCGTCCTTCCAAAAGCACACGCTCTTAGGAACAGTTCAGTTGGTGTTACCTCTTTAATGCAGGTTGTCATTTTTCCACTCCAAGCATCCCGGAACCGAACAGAAGCTGGCTGAGACTCTCATTAGCTTCTCTAACCCTGTTTGCTTTCATTTTTGCATATACACTTTTATTTATTCGGGTTGTTGTTCTTTGTTATGATGGGTCTACTGTAATGCTAGGAAAAGACTCTTCCCATAATGCCATAGTTTTTGTGTTTCCGGTGAACAACTTAAATTACGTTACACATTAAACACTATTAATTTTTGATGAGTTTTTGTTCCATGTGTGGCTTGTAGGTGGAAACGGATGCAGCTGCTGCTCCAGATGCTAGGCGTTATCATGCGAGGATGAACAATGGAAACGGGTGGCAAAGTAAATTTCATAATTTTGGAAAGGATGCAAACTTGAAATGGAATGGTTCTGCAATGGGTGAAGAACATGAGCATTATGGTGTTTTGCCTTTGCTGGATAAGGCTTTCAATGAAACTTTCGGATATGGATCGGTGACTGATGATCTGAGGAGCAACGTCAAGAATGTAATCCAAGATGAAGCAAACAGTAAACTGTCAAGCCATGAACAGGAGCTGCTAGGTGGGTAATGATTTTTCTTCCTTGGTTTACTTTCCGTCGATCTTGTTTTCCGTACTGAGTACAAATGCTACCGAAGCAAGGGAGGCAGCTCTCACTTCTGGATTCTTCCTATCGACCCATCAACTTATATATAACTTCCCGTGATCTGAGATTTTATGCTTCAGTGAATCCCAGCGGCACAGACTGGAATTGAACCCAGGCCTTTTGGGGTGAGAGGCGATCACGTTTACCACTACACCACCGGTGCCGCACAAGGTGGGTAATAGACTGGTGCAAAATTTGAAATTTTCGCTCCACAGTGCTCAAACGGTTTCAAATCAGGTCCTGATTAGCCTCCCAAAATTTAAATTCATTTGGCAAGAAACTGACTTGGCACAAACTAAATATTCGAAGTTTATATGGAAATTACTATGGGAAAACCAAGCTTTTTGTTCATTGTCTTCTACCCATTTTCGATATTGCTTTTTCGAAAATTTCTATAACTTTTCTTACGGGAAATTTTCTAAGCTACAACTTTGCGGAATGAGTGGCGCCAGTGGTGTAGTGGTAAGCGTGATTACATCTCACCCCAGCAGGCCTGGGTTCAATCCCAGTCGGCGCCGCCGGGATGTTCTGAGGCATAACATCTCTGATCACGCCTTCCTTCGGAAGGGAAGTAAAGCCGTTGGTCCCCGGTTCATGAGTTGATGGGTCGATAGGTAGGGTCCAGGTGTGGGAGCTGCCTCCCTGGCGTCGGTAGCATTGGTGCTCAGCACGGAAAACAAATCAAGGAAAAAAAAACTTTGCGGAATATCGTTTTTCAGCCAAATGTCAAATTAAATTGTTATTAACTGTTTAAGAGATTGATAATCTTATGGCATGATCCAGCAGCTGTTTTGTTGGCAAAACTGGATTCTGTAGTGTGACATAGTAGCCATGATGTTTGTGCTCTATTATTCGCACCAGAAACACCAATGTTGCCTGCTGAACAGTTAAATCAGCATAATCATAAGACATCAGTGCCTTGAATCATTAATAACTTTTGTTCCTTATATTTGATTGAAAAGTAGTTGTAGCTGAGATTTTCTACAATCACTGCTATCATTTTTAAAAGCCTTGTGATGTGGTGAATTGTAAGATAGATGTGAACAAAAACATAAGTTTTCCCATAGTTATTCCCATATAAACTTGAAATGGTTTGTGCCAAGTCAGCTTCTCACTAAAGTAGTTCAAATTTTGGGAGGCTAAGCAGGACCCAATTTGGAACCGTTTAAGTACTGTGGAGCGAAAATATCAAATTTTGCATCAGTCTAGTGGGTAATCAAAAGCAACATCCTCTGACAACAACTGACATTGGACTATTTTTTTTTTCAATCATAGTAGCCTTATGGATTTTATTGTTTTGCTTTAGAATTTTTTTTTTGCTTTTTTAGAGAGATTTTCAGCCTTGGGCTGACATGCTTTAGAATGAAAGTTGGTGCAAAATAATATTTGACTATTTTGCTAGTTAGATCCTTTAAATCTTCTGAACGGAAGTATAATAGGGGAAATGCAGGTAATGTCGGCCTTAGTGTCCCTTATTTGGGCCCATACATTAACTCAGCGATCGACTAAATTTTCAATAGCAACCAAAAATGTCCATTAGTAACATCCCAATAACGCGTTCATGTAGATAAAATTGATAAATAGCAGTTTTTTAGCGATGAGACCAATCTTAGATCCATAAGCCACCATTTGAGACATTTCTCCTAGGTATCAACATTAATTCACTCTTTACACGAGATTAGATTGGGTAACCTAGGTAACCATTGGCACTATATTTCATCTGTTAAACAATATTCTTCAATGCACGTCGTGAACATTCTTAAATCCGACTTCTCCTAATCATGAGTAATTTCAGAGTTGCTTTTAAGGCACCTCGAGTAACTTGCATTCCTCAGTGAGTAAGATTACTATCATTTACTTTCTCACTTTTCGCAACACAGCAACATTTGAAGGTGCACCTTCATGCGAAACCAAGAACCTGCTGTCAATCAGAACAACAATAAAAGAAAACAGTTTTACAGAACTCAATAGCTCAGCGAACTCGGAGACAGTTTATTGATTAGACTGCATCATCTCAGTTTAATAACCTTCGTTCAATCCTTATCAACTGGGAACGCGAACGGAACCTGTTGCAGCCTTACACTTACGAAGAACGAACGCCTTTGTTTTTTTTTCATAATGCGATAAAGCGTTTATTATTCCAGGCTCATTCGCTGTAGCTTTGCGGAGCCGATTTCCATTATTTGGATCACAAAATTACTTAAAACTAACGTTAGTAAAGCGGGGGTCGATTACTCGCAGCTATCTCGAGGTTTGAGGTAACAAAATGTAACAAATGGAGAAGAACGAATGCTTCTCCGAAATAAACAAATATTAATAATAATAAGAAATTAATATAAAGAACCATGGATAACTTTCTTAGAATTATCGTAGATGACCTTTTATTCGAAGAGTTGACATTATTTTGTATAATTCTATGTTATTTAACCTCTTATGTCATGCTCTTCTATACCAATTTAAGGTATCGAGATATTCGTTCCTACTCGGGATGGCACGCATAAACCATTTTTATACTAAGTTCATATACTTTCCCTTTATACCAAGCTATGCTTCGGTAAGGAGAGTTGTGATTTAGCGTAGCTTTTATACTATTTAGATTTTAATACTTTTTGAGTAGGGGAAATGGATGTTATGTCGGCCTAAACGCCCCTAATTTGGACGGCAAACATACTTTTGAATGTAAAAATCAATAAATGATCCATAAAATAATGGAAAACGTTCCATGAAAAACATCTAAATGATCCATAAAACATCGGAGGAAATTCTTAAAAAAGTGTGAATCATCCATAAAAAAATATCAATATGATCCATATTTTATGTTAAATTTAACAACACAATTGGAAAAATGTACCACTAAATTTCAAACGAATGAGCATTGAAATTGTACGAATGACCCATAAACCTATTGCAATTGATCCATAACACATTTAGGAGGGAACCTTAAACTAAAGAAAGTGATTCATAGAAAATCAAGTTTGCGCACTTAAAAATATAGCCATGTTCGGATTAATGAAAGCAACTTCCACAGAGCAGTCTCGTTTTGGACAGCTTACTAAAACTAAACTATAAAATCTAAACCAATCTTAATGCTTATAATAAAACCTATTTCAGTTTCAAGCAGACCAAAACGAGACTGCTCTGAGGAAGTTGCTTTCATTAATCCGAACTTTCTTGAAGAAAAACATCGGATATAAACTCAAAATGTCAGAGGGATCAGCACCACCGTTGAGTGAAGAACAGAACAGCGATCGAAACTGTACGCTTTGTGAAGGTCATGACCACGAACATGATATGGTTCAGTGTGATGTCTGCGATTTCTGGACCCATTACTGTAGTGCTGGTAAGACAACAGCTGTAAAAGAGGTTCCGTAGACGTGCTCGAAGTACACAAATATGCTGAAGGTGCCAAAAGGAACCAAGAAGTCTGTCCCAAAGCAACCACCTAGCAGAAAGAATAGTGCGAGGAGTGATGCCGGATCCGAATTTGGAAAAGGAAGTATCAATGAGGTCAGCCTGGAGGAATCCCTAGACCAGTTGCAGCAGGAGAAAAGCGCATAGGAGAAGGCGCTGGAGGAACAGAAATTCTGCCATGAAAAGCGATAGGGGGCTGAGCGGGAGATTTTTCAAACCAAGAGTTATCTTTCGTCACTCTTTCAACAAAGAGTTAGTTAGATTTAGGATTCAGGGATTCAATTATTATTTTAGCTAGGCACGCCAACATAAACGTAGCCAGAGGGGATCAGGGGAGATGGGGGACTGCCCCCCCCCCTAAACTCAGCAACACAAAGGCTTTTGGGGAAATGGCGTTCGGTGTAATGGCATTCGGCCAAATTTTCCATGGTAATTTTGTTTTCGCCCCACCCTAGCTCGACGCCACGCTAATAATGTAGAATGAGCTACTTACTAGTTACTTAGGGTAAATCAAGTATACATATAGCGTTAGGAACAAATTGTAGGTTACCAGATTTTAGGATCATATCGTAGTATCTAGATTAAGCAACTATACGGTTATTAAATTCAATATTTTCACGAATTCCACCTTCAACTAACCTACTTCAGTAGCTAGTTCATTAGTTCAAATTTAGGCAATTAACTTAATTTAGCTGTAAAACGTGATGGCTTGGAATTGTACCTTCTTTTCCTCATTTTTTTTCTTGTTCTTACTCCGACCTATTTAAGCTCACAGTTCTGTTGAGCCAAACCTGACGTCTGTCATTTCTGACAGCGACCGTTACCGTAGCTCTCTGAATCTTCCACAGGGTTGTCACTGGACTTGGCGGTACAGGGTTAAGCCAATATTCCGAACAGCCATGATCCATAAATTAGACGTATATTATTGACGTTTTGGACACTATATTATTAATTTTGATCCATAACCCATGAAAAATTGCTCCATTACTGCGTATCTACGTAACTACTTAGATTTATTGTCCTGCCGTGTTTTTTTAGGTAGAAGTGCGGAGCGATGGTCAAGCGTCTAGCTTCCAAAAGAAGCTTCTATAATAATCTTCTTAAGAAAATATGAAAAATAAATGTTAATTTTACAGATCATACCTAGGGTAGGTGTTTCAGTTATCGGTAGACGTTCCTATTATGGTGTGTTCAAATTATAGTCTATGGGATATACATATGTTTTTCATGTTTTGGACCCTTTTTAATTTGATCCATAAACCTAGGAAAATTGCTACATAACTGCGTAGTTACGCAGGTTTACCAACAATCAGTACGAAACTAACGATTTTAAATTGGCTCACTACTTGACTAGCCTATTGGTCCCAAGCAAACGATTAACGTATCTCATTCTAGTCGAAATTCTAGTACTACACAATGTTTGTTTTGATTCGCTATGAAAGTTTGACAGATAAAATGAGGGGTTAGTGGATTTTCCTATGTTTCAAGGGGTGAATCGATTAGCTTGGGACCGAAGATAGTACCAGAGCTGAGCCAAAAAGTTGAGCACGTTTCTTCGGAACCTTCTGGTCTTAGAGTTACCTCTATGGGTTAACTGTTGTCAGAAGAGGGAAACGATGGGCGAGCGTCTAGGATAAGCTTCTTAAAAAGTTCCTTAATGAAGCTTTCATAGGAAAATTCTTCAGAATCTTATTTTGTAAGCTTATTCTAGACGCTTGCCCGTCGCTTCGCACCTCTACCTAAAATACACGGGCAGAACAGTGAATCTAAGTAGTTACCTGAAGTGAAGCAATTTTTCAATGTTTATGGATCAAAATTTCAAAAAATAGTATCCTAATCGAGAATAAAATACGTCTAATTTATGGATCATGCCTATATTTTTAAGTGCGCAAACTTGATTTTTTATGGATCACTTTCTTTAGTTTAAAGTTCATTGCTGAATGTTTTATGGAACAATTGCAATGTGTTTATGAGTAATTCGTACAATTTCAATGCTCATTTTTTAGAAATTAAGCGGTACATTTTTACAATTGTACTGCTAAATTTTACATAAATTATTGAAAGCATTGATATTTTTTATGGATCATACACACTTGCTTAGGGATTTTCTCCGATGTTTTATGGATCATTGGAATGTTTTTAATGGAACGGTTTTCAATATTTTATGGATCGATTTATCAATTCTAAAGGTGCACACTTAAGGTTGCCAATTTGGACCCATACATAAATTCAGCAATCGACTAAATTTTCAATAGCCACCAAAAATATCCATTAGTACCGTCCCATCTAGATTAAATAGATAAATAGCAGATTTTTAGCCATGGGCCCAATCCTAGATCCATAGGCTAACATCAGAGCTATTTCCCCTATACATCGGAAAAACGAAAACGGCAACAGATTTTTCAAATATTTACATGGAAATTCGTAGCTCCGACTGCCATTTTCTCAATGCAATCCTTTTCATTCAAGCTAGGACCTAATCGATATCACAACATTCATAATTATAATTGCCACACTGTTGCCCTTGTTCAAAGTGACATTAATCAGTGCTGCGAAGCTCTTCGACAGCTTTATTTACATCGTTTCATCAAAAGAAATTTGCCCCCATTAATGGGTTTGAATGGTGCTCGTAACAGAACCTTGCGTGACGGGGGAATGGAAGTGGAAGTGAACACATAACCTATCCAACAAAAGTCAATAGAAGTCATCATGATGGAATAGCAAAACATTAGCACAATGTAAATGCTAACAGTCTCCTTCGCATGGCTGAGCGGTGAAAAACATTGGGGCAGGGCAAAGGGAGCCTCGATGGTTGATTGTGAGAATATTAATCAGCTCGGCTGAGGCTGATTTCTGTTTCAATGGTTTTCGATTTTCAGCCATGTTTCTTCTCTTCTATTCACAGGCATCAGACGGACGGTTCCCGGCTGGGATGGGGAACCACCACGGCGGGTTTTCGATAATGGTAACAAGGATCAAAACAACAACGAAACCGATGAGAACGATGATTACGAGTATAAAATTGCAAATCAGAGCGGCCTGTTGTCGTCGTCGCCGTCGTCCGATAGTGGAGATTCGGCGGAAATCAATGATAGGGTGGTGGTTCTTGGCCAAAGGTTCAACGGTGAAAGCATGCAGGACAAAGACGTGCCTGAAAAGAAGTCAACTTTGGGGTGGCTGAAAAGAAAATTACTCTCTATTGAGGGAGACTCGGTAGCTGATGATAGAGATGACACCGAGTCTGATTACAATGATGATAAGAGGTGGAGAGTGGGACTTGCTGGTGAGTTCAAGCGTAGAGGGGGTTCTTATCGTAATGATGGCGATGATGACCGGGACAAGCTTGGGGATCCGACAGGGGATGATTACTATCACAAGTCTGACGATCCACAGGGTGATATTTCCGACCTGGCTCTTTCAGCGAATCGATATCCAGCGGATATGGGCGACATACATACTAGCTGGGACAAGGCTAATCATAAACGTAAAATCATTGAGGAAATGAACGGACGTGTTGACAGCCGGAATTATGATAAGGTCACCAGTTTCAGAAGGCGTAAAAGTGCCAAGCCGGTTGGAGAAGGGGGAGGTGAAATGTCACCGGGTGGCACGAGCGATAAGAAAGAGGAAACGATCCAGGATCAAAGTACAGTTTATCGACAACAGGACGATGATTCGGATCAGGTTGAGACCACGACGGCATGCGACTGTGCTGCAAAGTGTGCCACAGCGGAAAGCACAACGGATGAAAGCACTCAGGAAACGGATGCTACTGAAGCTAGTGGTGTTGATGAAGAGGTGACAACGGAAGAACCCGAAGAAGAAGAAGATGAAGAAGAAATTACTTCTGAGGAACCCGTTGAACAACCTGAGTCGAGTGCCGAAAGCGATTCAGGTCAGAAGAAAGAGGTTTACATTGATTTGAGAATTGGCATCAAGAATGTGGGAAATGATAGCACGGCATCGCAGGAAGAACCAGTAGAATTTCATAAGAAAATTGTGGTCAAGCGAGAGGAGCTTGAGAATAATGTCTCTGCTCAAGCAGAGTCTTCGGAATCAAATTTCCCCATTGATTTGGTAAAGGTGAGTCTCTGGTTAAAAGCAATATTCTCTCTTTTCAACGATTATTCACTTCTTAACCTAATTGAATTTCAATTCGTCCCTTTTCAATTTTGATTACCTCCCTAGTCACCTAACGACAGTAATCACCTGAGAGTTAATACTTCCAATTCATCCTCCCAGTGACTGATTTCATTCGGATTCTTTTTTTCTACCTATTTTCATCTTTCGGTGACCGGAATGTAGGCCATCTATCAATTAGTGGACAAGGATGACAGCCTTCGGAAACACGTGGCACCACGTCTGCCCGATCGAACCAAGTTGTTGTCCAAGCTGGAGCAGCCTGGCCGCAGGCAAAAGATTAATGACCATCGACTGGAGAGTACTGGGGTGGACAAGAGCCGTGCTGGAGGTGGCCCTTCAATGGGAGCCGCTCCATCGGTGGCTAGTATTGAGGTCAGTAGCAGTTCCTAACTGACGTGTTTTGGTTATTTCCTGGCTTTTGGTTTCAATTGTTTGGAACTGTGTGGTTGAAGGAGGTTCATCTTTTGTCACCATTGATAGAGCAACTTTCTATCCACATTGTTGATTTATTTTATTTTTGTTTTTTTTTTGGACGTTTTATACGAAGTATTTTTTGTTTTTGCAGGACAACAAGACCAACAGCAAAGCTTTGGCAAGCGTGCTTGAAGCCATTGGAGAATTGATTCGAAGAAGATCGTAATATTGGATTACAGTGAATTGAGTAATATTTTACTAATACTTGTCATTGCATTAAATGTTTACTTGTATAAAATCCTTCCAATTTGTTTGAACATAGTTTTTGTCTTGAAAATTATTGAAGATTTAATTCTCTAAGATGTGTATTCAAGACTGGATAGAACTAGGAGTATTTCTTCCTTTACCTTTTCCTACGTCAATTTCCTCCATTCTTCTCTTTTCAGAAAGCAAGTAATGCCGCTATAACCATAAGCAAGGACAAGCGTTAGTACACATGTCCCAACCATTAGAGGAAAATGGAGTATCACCTAACCTTTTTAGAATAGATGCTCCCAACGACTAATCATTTATAACACATTTCATCCATTAATTTCGTTCTGAAGCATCGTGTTTAAATCTTTGATTCAATCAGGATCGATGTTTCTAAATCATCTTGCCCCTTAAAAGATGTACAGGCCATTTTAACATATTTTGCGCATCTTATACATACTTTCATTCCGCAGAACTTCTTCTGATGATGCTGATGTAATTGCCTAAAATATCTCGAAACTGAAAGACGTTTTCTGCACTTCCTTGAAGCTTAGAGTTTGTTCTTATGTTCACTAAACTTACCTGATGTTCTCTGGATTATCTTTAATTTTTTGAACTTTTGGAAAGTTGTCGCTAAATTCCTAAATTTAATGAAACTGCCATAAGTTCTCGAAATTCACCTCAAATTCTTGGAACCTCCCTGAAGTACCCGCAACTTTTTTGACATTCATGGAACTGCCTTAAATTAACGTAACTTCCCATTAGATTTTTAACCTTTACAGTGCTCAACTAAAGTTCCTGCAATTTTACTGAAGTTGATGGAATTGTCCTGAAGCACTTTGTTCATCACAGAAGTTCTAGAAATTTTCCTGAAATCTTTGGAACTACCCTGAAGTTATCGTAATCTACTATAATCTAATCTAATCTAATCTTATCTAATCTAATCTAATCTAATCTAATCTAACACCAACACAGCCAGTTCTTGAAAGTATCCTGGAGATTATATATACCTACATCATTTTTCTTGTCTATCGAAGATGCGTCACACATATCAAAACGCCTAGGCCTACTGTGCAGCATTTAAGGGGCGAGATGATTCAGAAAACATCTGGCCTGTATAAATCGAAGATTTAAACACGATGCTTCCGAATCCAATAAATGGGTGAAACGTGGACATCTCGTACCGTACGTTCCGATTTTGGTAATTATATGATTGGTTGGTTGTTGGAAGCATCAAAGCTAAAAAGGTTAAGTGATGCTCCATTTTCTTCTGACGGTTGGGGCATGAGCACTAACTCTTGTCCTAGCCTTTTATGACTTATGGCTATAGCGCCATTACTCGCTTTCTGAAAAGAGAAAAAGGAAAGGAAAAGGAGAAGGACAAAGGGAAAAGGATTATGTGAAATCTATGATCATAAACAATATTTTTGATTTGAAATATACAATATAGAAATGCATAACGGCGCGGTGGTCACTACCCGAGTCTTGTCACTATTATCAAGTCATAAAAAGTAACAAGGACTAAAATGTGGTCCTTTGATTACTGGAAAAACCTGATTTCCTAGTTTGAAGTTGTCACGACTAGAGTTCGGTGGTAGATATTATATCAGTCACACACCACAAAAAGGTGATTTCCCAACGTTACTAGTTTGAAAAAATAAAAATTTACTAAATGGAACGAACTCACCAAGTTTAGCCAATTGAACCTGAAGGCTACCTGACATGTGTTGATGTAGAAGTCCAAATTGTAGACGAAGCTTGACAAAGATCAGCATGAACTAGTCTGGTTTATGGTAGTTGCGCGGAATGTCTTCCTTCGATTTGATACAAACAAATGTTCGGATGTATGTAGTCGATTTTTGATGTGCATTGGCAAGCCTTCTCGTGGCCAATAGTAAGGTTCAACGATACGACTCAACGAATGATGGAACTAGTGATGGGACGAATGATGGGACGAATGATGGGACGAATGATGGGACGAATGGTGGGACGAATGATGGGACGAATGATGGGACGTATGATGGGACGAATGATGGGACGAATGATGGGACGAATGATCGGACGCCTCGTGGAGGTTCTACTTGGCTTCGGAACAGCTTCTCAGCGGCAAATAATAGGGACCTAGAATGAGGAACTAGAAATTGTCTACTGGGCCTGGTTAAGGCCAGATCAGCAACCGATTATAGATAAAAAAAACCCAACGGAAAAAACAAACGTCCGGTTCGAACACACGAACAGCCTAGTCCTCTTATCGTAATCTACCATAATAAATTTTATTTTATTTTCCTCTAAAAATTTTCATAAAATTCTTAGAGGTTCTTGAAGGTTCTCGAAATTTATCTGAAATTATTGGAACTAAAGGGCGAACACGAAATTATTGCGACACCGAATATGTCATGCCAATTTTCTTATAATGTTTAGAATCAAACCAAAATTTTAGGGTAGTTTTATACATATATTTACTTCAAAAATCAAAAGAAAAGTTAATGGATGGAGCCTTGAGTGTAAAATTGAACGCATTTTCGCTTGATGCCCTCCATCAAAGTCTTTACAGTGTCATCCGGTACCAGTTTCTCAGTTTTTTTTTTCCATTTTCTTAACATGTCCTTCTCGTCTTTGACTGTCTTCTTGCTCTTCCGAAGTTCCCGCTTCATTATTGCCCAGTACTGCTCCACCGGGCGCAGCTCCGGACAGTTTGGCGGATTCATGTCCTTTGGAACAAAATGGACAGAATTGGCCTCATACCACTCCAGTACACTTTTAGAATAGTGGCATGATGCCAAATCTGACCAAAATAGCGGAGCTTCGTTGTGCTGCTGCAAGAACGGCAAAAGGCGCTTCTCGAGGCACTCATATTTGTAGATCTCGCCATTTACTGTGCCCTTTGTCACGAAAGGCTTACTCCTCAGTCCGCAAGAGCAGATGGCCTGCCAAATGAGATATTTGGAGGCGAACTTCGACATTTTCTTCTTCTTAAATTTGTCGTCCACATCGAACTTGCTCTTGCCGGTGAAAAACTCCAACCCCGGAATTTGCTTAAAATCGGCTTTTATATACGTTTCGTCGTCCATCACACAGCAGCCACATTTTGTCAGCATCTTCTCGTAGAGCTTCCGTGCCCGAGTTTTAGCCGTCGATTGTTGCCGCTCATCGCGGTTTGGGAAGTTCTGTACCTTGTATGTATGTAGTCCAGCTCTCTTCTTTGCATTCTGGACCTAGCTCTGCGACATGCCGATCTTTTTAGCCAAATCACGGCTTGAGACGTTGGGATTTGCTTTAATCATCCGCTTCACCTTTCCCTCCGTCTTTTTGTTCTCCGGTCCCGGTTTTCTTCCAGCTCCTTTGCCGTGGTCCAACGTCAACCGCTCCTGGAACCGCTTCAACACTCTGGAGACGGTTGAATGGTGAATGTTCAACATTTTTCCCAACTGCGACAGGTCAGAAAATTCCAGGTGTTTGGAAAGAATTTGTTCTCTCAAATCGCGTTGGTTCACCTCCATTTTCGTTGAATCGAAAAACACGACTTCGAGTTTGACAGCATGTACACAATACACATCAATGAGAAAGTGTGCAAAATTTGGTTGATTTTTACCCAATGGTAAAAAAGTTATGCCCTGTTGAATGTGTCGCAATAATTTCGTGTTCGCCCTTTAATATAATGTTTTCTATATTGTCCTTAAATTCTTCAAACTTCATTCAAGTTCTCGAAATTTTTCCGACGTTCAGAATACTCTCAAATTATTTGAAGTTTTGTGGACATTGTTCTTGGAAAAAAAAAACTGTAAAGTTCCTGCATTTTCCTGATGTTAATCGGATGGCTCTGATGTTCTCAAAATTTTCCTGAAATTTTCAAAACTTCCATGAAGATCCCAATCATTTTTTGATGTTTTTGGCACTGCCTTGATGATCTTAGACTTTCCTAAATATCTTTATATAAACCTGAAGTTTTGCGGAGTTTATTGAAGTTCTAACAAAGTTTCTGAAAGTATCTTGATGAAAATGGAACTATCGTGAATTTCTTTAATTTTCAGCTAAATTCATGAAATTCTTCCGAAGTTCATGGAACAAACCTGAAATTCTTGGAGCTTAGCCTTAAATATCGTCAAAATTTCCCCTGAAGGTTTTGAAAAATTCCTGAATGATTCAAATATTTCCTAAAGTGCTTCAAACATCTCTGAAGATTTCGAAGCTTTCCTGAAGATGTTCAAATTACTCTAAGGAAGTTGGAAGTTCCCTGTACTTTTTTCTGGACTTCGCTTAATTTCTCAGAACTTCTATAAAGCTCCTGCAATTTTCCTGACATAAATGGATTTGTGCTGAAGTTCTCTGACATGTATACAGAATAAAATATTGTTGAATTTAACATCCAAACAGCTGCACACAGGTCATTTCGCTGATAGTGTAAGTTTACGTTGTACAATATTGACAGAATTAACGAACACCCTCACTTAGAGAAATGTATCAGCTTCTTGATAATTACATCAATATTTTATAAGCGGCACCGATGGTGTAGTGGTAAGCGTGATTGACTCTCACCCCAGCAGACCTGGGTTCAATTCCAGTCGGCACCGCTGGGATGTTCTGAGGCATAACTACTCTGATCACGCCTTCCTTCGGGAAGTGTAGCCGTTGGTCTCCGGTTCATGTGTTGATGGGTCGATCGGTAGGGGAGCTGTCTCCCTGGCATCGGTAGCATTGGTACTCAGTGCGGAAAACAAGATCGACGGAAAACATTTCAAGGAAAATAAAAATACAAAAAATCGGTCTACAAATCTAATTGCTCCAAAGTTGACAGGTCACCCGTCAACAACAATTCAATAAAAACAAAATTCGAAGCTCATTACATCAATCCAACTCTTTCAAACAACCACAAAACCGTGCAATTTTCGGCGCCATTTCACGGTTCACACAGAGATTGAAGCGCAACAGGGGGATAAACATAAATAAGAAGGACACACATGCTCCCTCCACCGC